TTTCCCTGTTTGAGACTTCAACTTGGCCACTCGCTTGAGGATGATAAGGAGTAGAAACTTTGTGGGTGACACCATACTTTGAAAGCAAAATGTCAAAACCTCTATTACAAAAATGAGTCTCCTCATCACTTATGATTGCACGAGGAGTGCCAAACCTTGTAAAAGTGACACAACAACACTTCGGGCCTCATTGTTGGGTAAAGCCACGACGTTAACCCACTTTAAAACATAGTCAACTGCCACAAGAATGTATGTGTTCCCACACGAGCTAACAAACAGGCCCATAAAATCAATGCCCCATACATAAAAAATATCGACTTCAAGAATGGTATTAAGAGGCATCTCATCTTTCTTCGAAATTCCACCTGCTCTTTGACATTCATCACACCTCTTCACAAGTTCACTTGCATCTTTGTACAAAGTTGGCCAATAAAACCCACAAATAAGAACTTTGGAAGCCGTCCTCGCCCCGCCATGATGGCCACCATAGGGAGAGGAATGACAAGCCTCCAGGATACTCAATTGCTCTTCCTCCGGGACACACCTTCGGATCACACCATCCGTGCAAATCTTGAACAAGTAAGGCTCATCCCAATAAAAATCCAAACTATCCCGTTTAAGCTTGTTTCTTTGGTTAGAAGAGAGCTCAAACGGGATTATACTAGTCACAAGGAAATTAGCAACATCCGCAAACCATGGAATACCATTCACTGACACTGAAATGAGTTGTTCGTCGGGAAATGAATCATTGATCTCTAGGCCATCACGAGTCCTCCCCTCCTCCTCCAAGCGAGACAAGTGGTCTGCCACTTGGTTTTCACTACCCTTCCAGTCCACAATCTCCAAATTAAACTCTTGAAGTAACAAGACCCATTGCATCAGTCTAGCTTTGGAATCCTTCTTCGTCATCAAGTACTGGAGTGCGGCATGATCGGTATGGACTATGACCTTGGCACGCATAAGATACGACCGAAATTTCTCCATGGCAAACACAATTGCCAAACGTTCTTTCTCGGTCACCGTGTAGTTCACTTGAGCATCATTCATTGTCTTGCTCGCATAGTACACCAGATGAAACATTTTGTTCATCTTTGACCCAAAAATGCCCCAACTGCAACATTTCTTGCATCACACATGAGCTCAAAGGGCAAGCTCCAATTAGGTGCGGTAATGATAGAGTGGTGGTCAACTTGTGCTTGAGAAGTTCAAAAGCTTACATACATCTGTCACACAAACTTGACATCTTTTTCCAATAGCTTGCATAAGGGGTTAACTACCTTCAAAAAGTCTTTGATAAATCTCCAGTAGAACCCCGTATGCCAAAGAAAACTTTTAACTCCCTTGAAGAGGTAGGGGAGGGAGCCTTGAAATCACATCAATTTTTGCTTTGTCCACCTCGATATCATGCTTTGAAATTTTATGCCCAAGAACTATGCCCTCTTCCACCATGAAGTGACATTTCTCCCAATTAAGAACAAGATTGGTTTCTTCACAATGAGCCAACACTCTATTAAGATTTTTCAAACACTCATCAAATGAATCACCCACAATACTAAAGTCATCCATGAACACCTCCAAAATATCTTCCACCATATCGGTAAAAATGGCCATCATACACCGTTGATATGTAGCCGGTGCATTACACAACCCAAAAGGCATTCGAGAAAAGGTAAATGTGCCATATGGACAAGTGAATATGGTTTTCTCCTAATCTTCCGGAGCAATCAAGATTTGGGTGTATCCATAATACCCATCCAAGAAACAGTAGAAGGCACGCCCAGCAAGTCAGTCTAACATCTGATCCAATAAAGGCAATGGAAAGTGATCCTTGCGGGTCACTTTATTCAACTTGCGGTAGTCCATGCATACCCTCCAACCAGTGACGGTTCTGGTAGGAATCAACTCATTTTGTGAATTTGCAACCACGGTCATGCCACCCTTCTTTGGTACACATTGCACCGGTGAAGTCCAAGAGCTATTAGAAATGGGGTACACAACCCCGACATCCAACCACTTGATCACCTCCTTTTTCACAACTTCTTGCATTGCCTCGTTCAATCTCCTTTGATGTTCCAAGGAGGGCTTTGCATCATCTTCCAAAATAATCTTGTGCATATAGAATGTGGGGCTTATCCCCCGAATATCAGCTAAAGTCCATCCAATTACCTTTTCCCGCTTTTGAAGCACCACCAATGTGGCATCAACCTGCATGTTAGTAAGACAAGAGGAAATGATAACTGGCAAAGTAGAACTAGGGCCTAAGAATGCATACCTGAGGTGTGGAGGCAACGACTTCAACTCCAACATCGGAGGTTCCTCAATTGAAGGTTTTGTTGGTGGAGTCTTCCTATTCTCAACGTCCAAAGATAGTTTCCTAGGCTCATAAGAGTAAGAGCCTATCCCATGTAAAGCATTCACACACTCTACTCTGCCTTCATCATCATTGACATCAAGATTCAACAACACGGCCTCTAGAGGGTCTTCCACATTGATCATTGAACTTGTATCATCAATTATCACTCCCGTGGAAAGGTCCACAAAAGAGCACACCTCAGAACTGTTGGGTTGCTTCATTGACTTGCACACATGAAAGACCACTTTTTCATCACCCACCTGGAAGGTGAGTTCCCCTGCTTTCACATTAACTAAGGCCTTCCTAGTAGCAAGGAAAGGTCTCCCCAATATGATTAGAACTTCATAATCTACCTCACAATCCAAGATCACAAAATCAGCTGGCAAGATAAATTTGTCCACCTGGACAAGCACATTATCAATAATACCCAATGGTCTCTTCATCGTTCTATCCGCCATTTGCAATCTCATGAAGTCGGCCTCGGTTGCCCAATACCCAAATTCTTGAAAACTGAGTAGGGCATCAAGTTGATACTTGCCCCCAATTCACATAGACCCTTGGCAAAGTCTGCACTCCCAATGGTGCAAGGAATGGTGAAAGCACCGGGATCCTCAAGCTTCAGGGCCATTGAATATACTATTGCACTAACTTAGTGGGCCATCTTTATAGTTTCACAATACATGGATCGTTTATTTGTCACCAAGCCCTTCATGAATTTAGCATAGCCCGACATTTATTCAAGAGCCTCCACCAAAGGCACATTAATGGATAAGCTCTTCATCATATCAATAAACGTTTTAAACTGATTCTCATTTTTTTGCTTCACGAGCCTTTGAGGATAATATGGAGGTGGCCTTGGAAAAGAAGCCTTGGCTTTAGGCACAAACGGCTCCGGCATGTCTATTACATGTTTCCTATATGAGTTCACGTCATTTTGAGTTTCCACCTCGGCATCTTGAATATCAATCCTCACTTTTTCATTCACATTCTCATCAATCATATTTTCAACCACCAAAGGAACTTCATCTTCTTGCAACTCAACTTCATCACTCAAAATTTGCTTTTGTTTGGCGACATTCACATCACCGCCTTGTCCATTCCTTGTTGTTACCTCCATAACATGATTGTTCCCACCCTTCGGGTTTACTACCGTATCACTTGGTAGGGCTCCCTTAGGGTGAGTATTCAAGGATTGTGAGATTTGGCCTAATTAAACCTCCAAATTTCTAATTGAAATATTGTGGGAAGACAACCAAGCATCATAGTCCGCATTCTTTTTCATCATATGTTCAAATATCATTTCAATTCTCCCCATATCATTGTTGGAAGAACTAGGACCTTGGGATGGAAATAGGGGTGGATTGTTCGGTTGTTGGTACATTGGGGGGCGTTGGAAGCCTTGCCCCCGATTTTCTTGATTGCCATTGTTCCAACCTCCTTGATTGTTGTTACCACCCCAGTTGTTGTTTTTGCCATTCCAATTACCCTGATTGTTCTGTTTATTATTCTGATTGCCCCAATTAGAATTTTGGTTGTTGTTCCCCCAATTACCATTACCTTGTTGTTGTTGATTGCCCCAATTGCCTTGGGGTCTCCATTGTTGTTGGTTGGAAGAATTGCCCCTTTGGCCTTGATAGTTGTTCACGTATTGCACCTCTTCATTCTGCCCATCATAACCAGCATCTTGGAATCCACCACAATCATTATTAAATTGCTCCGAATTCCCTTGGTTCTGTTGACCTCTCTGTCTTCTTTTGTTCACTAGCATGTTGACACCCTCCATGGAATTCACTTGGCGAGGATTTTGGACTTGTTGTAACTGTGCCTTTGCTAGTTGGTTTATTGTAGTTGTCAGCTCAGTTATAGCATGTCCATGGTCATGTAGCTCTTTGTGCAAATGAGTGACTGTGGGGTCACCCTGGGGCACATTAGCTCTACTTTTCCAAGTGGAGGAAGTGTCATCCATCTCATCAATAATGTCACAAGCCTCATCATAAGTCAGGTTCATGAAGTTGCCCCCAGCAAGTTGGTTCACTATGCACTGGTTTGTTGTGTTAATGCCGCAGTAGAAAGTCTGTTGGATCATCGCCTCAGTCATATCATTGTTGGGGCATTCCTTTACCATTTCTCTATAATGCTCCCAAATCTCATGTAATGGTTCAGTGGGCACCTACTTGAAAGCCAAGATCTCATCTCTCAATGCTTCCATATGCCCCGATGAGAAAAACTTTGCAATGAACTTATCCGCCAACTTATCCCAAGTAGTGATGGAATGGTTGGTAAGTCACTCAAGCCAATCCAGTGCCTTCCCTCTAAGTGAAAATGGGAAAAGTATCAACCGAAGTGCATCCTCGGACACATTAGTTTGCTTGCTCCCCCAACAGGTATCCACGAAACCCTTGAGATGTTTGTAAGTATTGTGATTGGCAGCGCTCGTGAAATACCCATGCTGCTCCAGCAATGTTAGCATCACATTGGTAATTTGAAGATTGTCTACCCAAATCCGGGGTGGGACAATTGCACTTGCATAGCCTTGGTTTAGAAGCACTCGAGGAGCCACTCTTGGAGGTAGCGGAGGAGGGTCTGGAATATTGTCATTGGCATTGGCCTGGAGGCCTCTATGTTGTCCTTGATGTACAAGAGACACCTTATCATCTCCGACATCATCTACCTCCTCCCCTGTAATCAAATTTCCAAGAGGGTCATTATTATTTGCTGCCATTTTGTACCTAAAGTGTGACACACACAAAATAGTAACGTAGAAGGAAAGAAGAACAATACACAAAACTATTTAGATAGATAGCTAAAACCGTTAGCTCTCCGATAACGGCGCCAAAAAGTGATCGAAGCCAACCCTGTACTACTACAAAGTAGCAAGAGTGGTCGAAACAGCTTTTACCCGAGAAGGTCGGGATCGATTTCCACAGGGAGCTAGAGATTGGAGTTGAGTTTCTATCTAAATTAGAGTTGTGTAATTGTTCCTAATTGCACTTCTATTCATATTTGGTTTTGATATTACTTCTAATTTTATACTACTAAGATGCTAAATTAGGCTAAGTGAAGCTAAGAGTAAACTATTGAAGGTTGTTTAAATAGGTAAAAGGCACTAGGGAAGTGACTTTCTCCTAGATGGGTAATTGACGGATTCTCGAGTCTAAGGCTAGATTGTCATATTTGGGGATTACGATATAACCATTGCACGATACTACTCACTCTATAACTCTCGGTAGTTCGAGTGATTTTGCCCTAATTGACTTTCTCAAGACCTATTGGGAATGATAATTTGTGCAAGCAATAGAGGTTCAAGTTGGGTATTACTATCTCTAAGTTTAACCCTTTAATTGGGGCTATCAATCTCTTGAATACGCCCTAATTTCTTGTTGGACCAATTTCATAGACTTAGGCTCTCTTTTTCAAGAAGAGCCAAAGTCAACTAGGCAGAAACTAGTGTTTGCAATCACTAATCCAACATTAAAACCATAAATTAGTCCAAATATCAAATACCCATAGACATTCAAGCCTCAAAACACAAGATCCATCAATTATCCCCACTAGGGCTGAGCCACAACCCTAGCTAATGGGTCTAGCTACTCATGATTGTAGAGGAAAATAAAGAAATAGATGAAGAAAAACCCATAATATTTAATTACTAGATAAAACTTGAAGATTCAATAATGAAACTAAGCTAAAATTACTCAAAATAGAAAAGGAGTACTGTTCACGAGCGCAACTATTCGTTAAAATACAACTGATGACCTAAAAATAGGAAAAGAGACTATTTATACTAGGCTGAAAATTCTAGAAAAATTACCCCTGCGGGGCTAGTGCGGATTGCACAAAATCGAGTGCGGCCGCACTAAGGCTCTTGGCTGAAACAATCTGCTCTCTGAAGTTGGCCACTGCGGGCCGCACAAAATTCAACGAGGCCGTGGTGGCTTCTAATGCGGTCCACACAAAATGGACCACGGACCACATTGGCAATGTTCCTCCAACTTGGCACATCTCTGAAGTTGAGCTTTGCGAACCGCACAAAATTGAGTGCGGCTGCAATGAAGTCAATACGGCCTACATGAAATTTTTTGCGGCCGCATTGCTTGGCTGCCTGAAATGAGCACTCTCTGAACCTCCTCTTTGCGGACCACACAGAATGGTGTGCGGCCGCACTAGTCCTATTATATTGAGCTTGGCCTTGTTCTTGGTACTTGTGCATGTTTCACTCCTTTTTGAGCTGGTTTTGACAAATTGTCACCTTGTCGATCAAACCCTGCAATCAAGTACAACATGTGAGCCTTTGGGACTATTTTGTACACATTTCTAATCAAAACTCAAGCAAGAAGGAGTGTGAAATGCATCATAATCCCTAGTTATCATTTAACATTCAACATTCAATTTGTCATACCTTCCTTGATTTTGTCTCCATCCTTTTCCTTTTCCACGACCTCTTCTTTGACTATAGTCTTGGCTTTTATTGTCTCTATTTGGTGGTTGACTACCACCTCTTCCTCCTCTACCATGACCTCTTTGCTGCGAACCACGCCTTTCATCTTTCTCCTTGAAGGAAAGTTTTGCTTGCAGCGCCTTTTCAACCGATTCGTCTTTCGGTTTCTTCAATGTTTCTTCATGGGCTTGCAAAGAACTCGAAAGTTCATCTATGGTCATGGTGTCCAAGTCTTTGAACTCTTCCATAGCAACAAAAATATAATCAAATTTTGAATCTAGGGATCGTAGTATTTTGGCAACGACCCTATCATCCTTCAACTCTTCACCATATCTTTTCATTTGATTGACAATAGCCAAAACTCTTGAAATGTAATCTGAAACAGATTCATTTTCTTTCATATACAATAATTCAAACTCTCCTCTTAAGGTCTGGAGATGAACCTTTTTCACTTTGTCCAAACCTTTAAAAGAAATTTGAACAATGTCCCATGCTTGCTTGGAGGTTGTCGCATTTGCAACCTTCTAGAACATTTTGTCATCCAAACCTTGATAGATGAGAGTGAGTGCCTTTTGATCTTTCTTATTTGTGGCTGGGGCATCTTCCGCTTCATCAACTCTAAACTCTACCGGTTCCCAAGCATCATAGGCACCAAGCAAGGCCTTTATTCGAACACACCAATTAGTTCTCTTTTGTGAGCATAGGAACTTGGAATGGTGTTCCATTAGTGTTTGTCATCTTTTCTCCAAGTTTGGTTGTCTGTCAACACACCGGCTCGGATACCAAATGTTAGAAATTTTTGGGAGAGTAAGACAGCTAAACAAACACTCAAAACTTACTATTAGAGAGGTGGAGGAAAGGATGATTTCTATTCAACTTCACTTGCTCCAAATGGCTAGCATACATGGGTATTTATAGTAGAACTCCTACATGTATCTAGCCTAAACTTCATGTGTATATATTAATTAAGTCCACACATGTACACACTAGTCCATACATGCCTACACTAGTTCACACAAATTCACATATGTCCACACCTCACTCTTTTCTAACTATATGTATGAAAACATTAAATTAATGTAAACAAATCTAAACATGTGCGGGATTGTTAAGATTTTTAAGCAAAAGAATAAGCTTAAAAGAGGGTGAATAGGAAATGGAGGGAAAATGAAATTTTTGAATGAAATTTTAAGTTTTTCCCTCTTGACAATGAGACATTGTCCCATATTGGAAGAGGAAAAGGTTTTTGGTGGGTATATATACAATTGCTTTTCTTGTAGCTCTTAAAGAGTTAAGAAGAAGGCAAGCCTCGCGCCGTCGTCGTCATCGCTCGGCTTCAGCTTCGGCTTAGGATTTGGATTTGGATTTGGTCAAATGATCGATTAATTGATTAATTTTTTGGACCAAATTTATTTGTTAATAGTAAATATTAACGTAATATTATCCGCGTGTGTAACGGATATGTTCCAATCCGTGTATCTATACCACCAATTCTATTAGCAGCCTAATGCATGCTCCATTAACAACCTAGTGCTCCTCCCACTATGGCCAAAGTGCTCCAATAACAGCCTAGTGCTTCAGCCACTATGGACAAATGGGTAGCAGCAAGTCAGTCTCTTAATAGCTGACTGCACTATAAATATGTGCAACAACAGTTAGAGAAAAGAGACCGAAAATAGAGAGCTACTGATTTCCTCTTCAGTTTGAACTCAACGTTGGCTGTAAATTGCAGTCCTTCTTCTCAGAATTTCCATACGATTTTTGAGTTTGTCCAACCTAGTTCTGCATTGTTTTTAAACTTCAAAGCAAGCAACCATAAGTGTGATTTGCTACCGAACTTTGTGTTTGCTGAAACACTAGGGTTTAAAGTACCACTACACTAGTGTATAATTTGTTCTATCCTGAAAACAATAATCCATAACCTTGGGTACTAGGAGGGGGTTAAATTTCTTAAGGAAACACTGTGAATTCAGTGGGCTCAAATTATCTACTGTTTCGTCTATATTTCCGTTTATACGCTAATTTACTTTTTCTAGAATTATTATTTACAAATGCAACAAGGAATAACAAGCTTAAGCAACAATTGGAAGGGCTGCGAGCGTTATGTATAATGGTAAATCTCGTCATATACGACGAAGACATAAAACCGTTAGGCAACTACTCTCTAGAGGAATTATCATGATTGACTATATAAAGTCAAGTGATAATGTGTGGGATCCACTTACAAAAGGCCTAACTAGAGAGGTAATTGAGAAATCATCGAGGGGAATGGGACTATGGCCGAGAACAAGTCATTGTAGTAGTAACTCTACCTACAAGACTGGAGATCCGAAGATCTAGGTTCAAGTAGATCAAACAAAGTCATTAATGACGGTTCAACATTGTCAACAAAAATTTTAGTCAATTCTCATGATGAGACAATGTTCAGTACCAAGAATAAAAGATTAAGGGTTTTTAATGATTTATAAGTTTGATACGAGGTATATCAAATAATATATTTATAGAATGACACGTTTAGGAATCACCTATGTAAGCGTGAAGTGTTAGCCGCTTCAAGGAGAATTTTGTAAGGCCAGTTCTTTACACATTTATAAAACCAGGCGGTGTTCATGGCTGAAACGAACACAACAATGAGAACCAAAGACGGTTAAGGGTTGATTGTCTGACTTATGGTTGTCTAGGTATACACCAAAGATCGACGGTTCAAAGATGTCAAATATACCAATTGGCCGAGTATATCCAACATAAGTTCACTACGGAAAGTTTAAAGGGAAACCTACTTATCCAGATGCGATTAATCCTTGCTTGCAAATCACACAGTTTTTTCATGCATACTTCCGTGATATAGCAATTTTCCATTCATGTGGGGGATTGTTGATATTTTTAAGCAAAAGAATAAGCTTAAAAGAGGGTGAATGGGAAATGGATGGAAAATGAAAATTTTGAATTAAAATTTTAGTTTCCCCCTCTTGACAATGAGACATTGTCCCATATTAGAAGAGGAAAAAGTTTTTGGTGTGTATATATACAATTGCTCTTCTTGTAGCTCTTAAAGAGTTAAGAAAAAGGAAAGCCTCGCGCCATCGTCGTCGTCGCTCGCACAGCTCGGCTTCGAATTCGGATTTGGATTTGGTCAAATGATTGATTGATTAATTTTTTGGACAAAATTTAATTGTTAATAGTAAATATTAACGTAATATTATCCACGTGTCTAATGGATATGTTCCAATCCGTGTATCTGTACCAACAATTTTATTAACAGCCTAATGCATGCTCCATTAACAACCTAGTGCTCCTCACACCATGGCCAAAGTGCTCCAATAACAGCCTAGTGCTTCAGCCACTATGGACAAATGGGTGGCAGCAGGTCAGTCTCTTAATAGCTGACTACACTGTAAATATGTACAACAACAGTTAGAGAAAATAGACCAAAAATAAAGAGCTATTGATCTCCTCTTCAGTTTGAACTCAACGTTGGCTATAAATTGCAGTCCTTCCTCTCAGAATTCTCATACGATTTCTGAGTTTCTCCTTCATTGTTCTGCATTGTTTTTTAACTTCAAAGCAAGCAACAGTAAGTGTGATTTGCTACCGAACTTTGTGTTCGCTGAAACACATGGGTTTGAAGTACCACTAAACCAGTGTGTAATTCGTTCTATTTTGGGAGGAAATAATCCATAACCTTGGGTTCCAGGATGTGGTTAAATTACTTAAGGAAACACTGTGAATTCAGTGGGCTCGAATTAACTACTCTTTCGTTTATACGCTAATTTACTTTTTCCAGAATTTTTATTTACTAATACAGCAAGGAATAACAAGATTAAGTGGCAATTGGAAGGGCTGAGAGCGTTATGTATAACGGTATATATACGACAAAGACATAAAACCGTTAGGCAACTACTCTCTAGACGAATTATCAAAATTGACTACATAAAATCAAGTGATAATGTGTGGGATCCACTTACAAAAGTCCTAACTAGAGAGGCAGTTGAGAAATCATCGAGGGGAATGGGACTATGGCCGAGAATAAGTCATTGTGGCGGTAACTCTACCTAGAAGACTGGAGATCCCAAGATCTAGGTTCAATGAGATCAAACAAAGTCAATAATGACGGTTCAACATTGTCAACAAAAATTTTAGTACATTCTCGTGATGAGAGAATGTTCAGTACCAAGAATAAAACATTAAGGGTTTTTAATGATTTTTACGTTTGATACGGGGTATATCAAATAGTGTATCTACAAGATGAAGCGTTTAGGAATCACCTATGTAAGTGTGAAGTGTTAGCCGCTTCAAGGAGAATTTTGTAAGGCCAGTTCTCTGCGCACTTATAAAATCAGGCGGTGTTCATGGTTGAAATGAATACAACAATGAGAACAAAAGACGGTTAAAGGTTGATTGTGTAACTTATGGTTGTCTAGGTATACACCAAAGATCGACGGTTCAAAGATATCAAATCTACCGATTGACGGAGTATATCCGACATAAGTTCATTACGGAAAGTTCAAAAGGAAACCTACTTATCCAGATGCGATTAATCCTTGTTTGTGAATCATACAGTTTTTTCATGCATACTTCCGCGATATAGCCATTCCCCATTCATCTGGGGGATTGTTGAGATTTTTAAGTAAAAGAATAAGCTTAAAAAAGGGTGAATGGGAAATGGAGGGAAAATAAATTTTTGAGTGAAATTTTAGGTTTCCCCCTCTTGACAATGAGCATTGTCCCATATTGGAAGAGGAAAATATTTTTGGTGGGTATATATATAATTTCTCTTATTGTAGCTCTTAAAGAGTTAAGAAGAAGGCAAGCCTCGCGCCGTCGTCGTCGCTCGGCTCGGCTTCGGCTTCGGATTCAGATTTGGTCAAATTATTGATTGATTAATTTTTTGGACCAAATTTATTTGTTAACAGATATGTTCCAATCCGTGTATATATACCACCAATTCTATTAGCAGCCTAATGCATGCTCCATTAACAACCTAGTGCTCCTCCTACCATGGCCAAAGTGCTCCAATAGCAGCCTAGTGCTTCAGCCACTATGGACAAATGGGTGGCAGCAGGTCAGTCTCTTAATAGCTGACTGCACTATAAATATATGCAACAACAGTTAGAGAAAAGAGACCGAAAATAGAGAGCTACTGGTCTCCTTTTCAGTTTGAACTCAATGTTGGCTATAAATTGCAGTCCTTCCTCTCAGAATTTCCATAGGATTGCTGAGTTTCTCCTCCCTTGTTCTGCATTGTTTTTTAACTTCAAAGCAAGCAACCGTAAGTGTGATTTGGTACCGAACTTTGTGTTCGCTGAAAAACTGGGGTTTGAAGTACCACTACACCAGTGTGTAATTCGTTCTATCCTAGGAGGAAATAATCCATAACCTTTGGTACTAGGATGGGGTTAAATTACTTAAAAAAACACTGTGAATTCAGTGGGCTCAAATTAACTACTATTTCGTTTATATTTTCATTTATACGCTAATTTACTTTTTCCAGAATTATTATTTACAAATACAGCAAGGAATAATACAAATTGCGTATGACTTGTTTAAGAATATCGCGAACACCTTCATAAAACTATATTCCTTAGATATAGAGCACAATGGTCAAACATCAAAGTGTTTATTATCAATAAAATGATTGAACACCTTTCTAGCCAAAGTTGTTTTGCCCAATCCGGGCATTCCAACAATCGAGACAATGTCTAGTTCCTTTGTTCCTCCAGTCAAT